TCCACTGTCAGGATACTATGATATGTGATATGATACCACCCCCGTTCGATTATATAGCTCCGCGCAACGAATATAAGACCCGATACAATGTGTCCATGATCTCTATATAATCACCCATAAGAAAACCAATTACCCCAATATCTAGTATCTAGCATATATTCCGTGATGGTGATAATGCAAATATCCTAAATATATCAGTCCCGATTTCCGCTAAAAGTCCGTTGGGTGGTGGCATTGACCTCTTGATATGCAGGTCAGCGAACTTTCTTACTTTCTCTCCATGCACGCCAAGTATACATCTCTTTGGTTCAGAAGTAAATCGGGCAGATTTAGAATGAAGCATTAGTAAGCATGCAAGATATCAAAATAATTCAATGTCATGAATATGGTTGGGAATATATATCTGATATATCGTATATAGTGAGCCTCACATCCACGGATATATCCGAGCTGGAATTTTAATATAAAAGTTATACTCGAGTGTCAGAGAAGTGCAATTTGAGACCATATACCCCAGTAAAGATAAAGAAAGCAAGAATATACCTTCTCGTTACTGGATTTGCCGTTAGGCTGTACATAGTGGGATCTCACGCACGATAGACAGCAGAACCCAAGTACACTACTCGTAGACGAGTACTACAAGAAGTCCAAAGGAATAGAATCCGATTGCTCCATACCATACATAATGTAACCCAGCCAGAGCCAAAGCGGTGCAAAAACCGAACCGAATGGCATTGAGAATCCGTAACCACAGACAAAGGCAGGGAATCAAAAGAACAATTAACACAATTGAGATTAGACAATGAGGAAAATAACATAATGGGCCAAGGAAATAAGTTAAAGACTAAAAGCAAAAAAAAAAGACTAAAAGAGAAAAGCCACTTCGCCGACGAGTTTCAATGCACCACGAACACCTCCATCCTCCGCCATTGTCTAGGTAGAGGGGGGAAAAACAAAAGCCAAATTAGCGATGAAGCCCAGATTTGCCTGCTTGCGCTCTCTTTCTCTTTTCTTGGTTTCTTTTTTTTGGCGGACATTTTTTTTGGGATTTGTGTTTGGTTAATTGGAAAGCCATAGTTCTCAGCATATTGGGAGGGGGATTCCTTTTTTTTTTTTTCCGAGAAAGCAATATCAAAAGGAAAAACCAGATCCAGTATCATCAAAGAGAGACTGAAATGGGATTCCAGCGCGGTGCTTGACAATTTACAAATAGTCTCACGAGAGTCCCCTGGGAGAATGGCGCAGATACAGTGCGACCAATTCCGAGGGAAGGGTGGGATGGATCGGCACAGAGGGAGACGGGTATCAAATGAACGCGAGATCGAGGCGCAGGGAGGAAAAGAAAAAGTGCATCGGGGACCTTGAGCAAGGAGGATCCCACGGATCATAATAATAAGCATTTAAGCAGTGGGTTGGTGCTGGGGTGGCATGCGACCGCCGACCGGCATGGGGTACTGACCACCAGCCTGCTGTTGCTGCTGCTGAAGGTTCTGGTAGTAGGCCATCTGCTGCTGCTGCTCGTTGGTCATGTAGCCAGGGTGGATACCCGGGCGCATATTCCCCTGGGGTGCATTGACGTTGTTGTGAGCCACATCTTCGGGGGCCTCGGGGGCGACATCGGGGGCGTCGACACCATTCTCACTGGCAGCTGGGTCGGGAGCGTTCAGGCATGCCTGTCGAGTATGTTAGTGACTGGATGAAAGAGTATGGGAGTAGACCATGACTTACCTGAATAAGGTTCTTGCCCTCGGCCTTGGTGACCAGAGGCTGAAGTTTGGGAGTAGTGAAGGTGTAGACGAGGCCGGTTTCGGAGACGACCAGGAGGAGAACCTGAGTGCCAGTCAAGACAGAGAGTTCGTATGCCTGTAGAGTCCCATAATGGTTAGTAAAAGTCCCAATCGATTAAATGTTAGGAGCCTCGATCGGGCAATGCGGAGGGCCTCGGGGGACGCGACGCACCTTCTTCATGATACCGGCCTTCCGCTTGGAGAAAGTAATGTGCCGACGCGACTTATCCTGAATAAACTTGATTTCGATCTTGCGACGCTCACGACCGGGCTTGTCATCGTCGTCATCTTCATCGTCGGCGCTCATGCGGTTGCGCTTGGTGCCACGGGCATCGCCGTTGCCGGGAAGATCATCATGACCAGGGGAAAGCTTTTCGTCGAGAACCGCAGACATATTGTAATAAAGAACAAAAGATGTTTAATATTGGGGGGGTTGATTTTGGGGGGATACCGAAAGGGGAAGTCAAGAGATGACCCAATCGAGTAACGCGTTTTATGGGATGTGAGAGAAAGGGAATGGGGGAATCGATGGGGGGGGGAGAGCGAAGAAGGCAAAGTGCGAGTTGCGATGGGCAGGCGGTCTGTTACGTGAATCACGTGTGTGGCTGGTATTAATACAGTTTATAAATTTAGATAAGTTGGGGATACTTCTACTATTACTAAAATTAATAATGGAATAGAAGTACTGTTACTATTCCCTTTTGTATTGCCTTGTAATGGTGTTGTATTCGCCTCCTCTGGACTGGACACGGTTCTTGGCTCTGACCGCTCATTGGTCGAAGCCCACTTCGGCCCCCCATTTTCCCTTTTTTGCCCTTTTCCCCTCTTGGACTTTCCTTTGTCAATTTGGACTTTTATAACTTGGGGAGATTCTTGACATTCATTTGACTATTTCTCTTAATTTGAAATAAAGAACAAAAAATGCATACCTTTTTCCTCCAAGTATAGAAACTTAGTCCATTCCATTTCACATGCCTCGACGGGGCAGAACATCCAACGTCCGCTAAGATATGATTGGCCATTCCACTTTTAAACAATCCCTATGAACATCCCCAATTTTCTACATTTTCTACATTTATATATTTTCTATACTATATTATTTGTTGTATATCATAGAAATATCCTATTTCGAGGTTACATTTACAAAAAAAATAAAAATTTAAGAATAAAACTGTGTCATCACACAGGCGCGGGTCGCACCTGCTTTGTGGCACGGAATAATGGCCCTGTATACAACATACTCGCATGGCCGCATTCAGAGTACATAAATAGCCCCAAAAAGACACCCCTGTTACCACTTTCTTATCTTCCTCTATTATAAGTACATACATAGTCATTCCCATTCCTCTCTGATTGCGACACCAGCCTCACGTTCATATTCATCATTGCATGGCAAAGTACGGAGTACGGAGCCGTACTCCGTTCAAGCTCACACAGTCTCGACACTCAATTGTAATTCCCAGATACATATCTCATATCCCTTTGCACGCACATGCCTTGCATGGAACTCGTAGAGCCCCTAGAGATATTTTGGCGTTTCACAGACATATTGAGGTGATTTGGTCAGTAGGCCTGTGACAAAAGCCAGGGGAATCTAAGGAGTACATATCTCTTGTCCTGTTTCTTTTATTACTCCTATTATTACTCCCACCTACAGAGTACAAATATACCCTTTCTTCTTAATTAATCGGGGTTGATGTTGCTCTAAGCATAAAGCCATCACATTCATTTCCCCTATTACTCCACCCCAAACCCGCCCAGGCTACCACGCGGCCGTAACGGCAACGTCCCTTGATCAATCACATTCGCAGCCCCAAGCGCAAAGATCGACCGCTGATGACAGTTCGCGAAAAGAAAATGATGCATCCCGAATCCACATATGAGCAACCAAAGCCGATCGATCAACGGGCCGAACCGAGAAGCCCTAGACCCAATGCAGCAGAGTTCACCTCGGTCGCTTCAGCATCCCTTCCTGCGTACTAAAAGAATACACTGCACAACACTGGAACTGACAAAAACTGATCATATTCTTCACATAATGAACAAAAGGTTCAACGCTAATCACCAGCGGAGACCTCAAAAGCAGGTCTGCTGTCAAGTCTATTTTTACAGAAAGGATGCAAGACATAGGGCACGAAAAGTGGCTTTTCCTCAAAAGCGCACTTCAAGACCGGAAGACATGGAGAAAATAGGAAATAAGGAAAAGACAGATAAGAGCAAGCCCAAACCGATTAGGCGTGGCAAGTCTCGGCCAAGGTCCAGGGGAAAAAAGACGGCTAAAAGATAAAGCCACTGAACATCTCAAAAAATGGAATACACCGTCAGGATATAGAGGGAGTACGCAAAGCCACCAGGTTCCTGCACCATACTGGACTCCGCCAATGCAACGCCGGAGAAATGAAACAGAAACTGGAGGACGCGGAGGGCAAGTCACGATCAAGAGTCTCATCCGGAAAAGAAAAGGGCTGTTGGGTTGGTTTGGCAATCATATTTGGCTGGTGTCGTGAAGTCGGGAAGAAAATAAAAAGCAAGAGAAAGGTGTGTAATATTTTAGAAAATAAAAAAAAAGAGCCAAATCATGTGCAACGAAGTGAAGAGATACGAGCAACAGTCCCAAGGACCAGCCTCAAGTAGTAGCGGTGCAATTCTATTGCTGGTAAGTGCCGCGAAGGAAATGGTCAGTCACACCACCGCCACCGCCGCCCTTGGGACCGAGCCAAACGATCTCAATCACGCTGTGGCCCTCATCTTCTTCGCGAACGTAGAATTGGTGCACGTTCTCACCAACCACGAATGCATCACGGAGCAACCAACGATCCTTAGTGACGCCCTCTTCCTCTGCGGGGCGCAGGGGACCTAGGCGGTCTTCATAGCCGCGGGGGTCTTCGGGCCAGGTCTTTTCGGTAGCATCGAAGTTGATAGCATCATCCGGCACATTTTCGCCGTATGTGTACTTCACCAGCGAGTAGCCGTTGGTCATGACCCAGAAATGACGGAGGTTCTCGCCAGTAGCGCTCACAGACTCCTCCTGATCGAAGACCCAGCGACGGAGAACAGACTTGCGCCCTGCGGCAGCAGAAACGGTGGTCATCTTGACCACGTCCTTGGTATACCAACTGTTCCAGTGGTGCATGGATTCAATCTTGCGGCCAGACTCGTAGACACCGTCCACGGGGTCTCCCATGTCCATCTGGTAGAGCGAAGGCCACAGGGTCAGGGGGTGTCACCGAAGCGTTGGATACACTGGCCAAGCTTCTGGTCACCGGGCTGCTCGCCCCAGGACTGGCACTCTTCGTAGTGCTTCATCAGGACCTCCAAAAGAGGTGTTGAGACAAACACACCGGCACCACCGAAAGCAATGTGACCAAAAGTGTCCACCTGCCAGCTGGCTTCAGACAAAGATCCAATGTAGTGCTTCTTGCTCTCGTCAAAAAGCTTCAGTTCCTCGGCGATAGTGGGGAGCGAAAGGAAGAAGGTATCGTCGTCGCTGAATCCAACCCACTTGGTGTGCGGGCGGTGCTTGCGAATGTGCTCGGTGAACGCCTCAACCATACCGAAGTAGCGGGCAGTGAAGTCGAGCGGAGAGGCCTTGAGAGTCAAGTCTAGACCGCGGTTGCGGAAGTAGGTCTCTTGCTTCTCCAAGTCGTCGTCAGACTCAGGGACCAAAACAATCAGACCCGCCTTGGTGTTTCCATAGGAGTAAAGCAGGGAGGGGAGAAGGCGGTCTAGACGGTCGACAGTAGTGGCCAAACCGAACAGAAGCTTGGAGGTCTCCTCGACATCGTCATCAGCGGCCACATCGACCTCGACGATCTCGGGGCAGACAAAGTTTTCTGGCTTGTTCTCGGGAGACACAACCATACCACGCTCCATGATAACCATGGGAGGGAGCACAGGCCTCTCGATTTCCTCCAAAGTGTGGAATTCGGTGCGAGGGTTTACATGACGAGGACGGAAATAGGCGCGAGTGTAGTTCTTGCGGGGGAGCCATTCAGGGAAGGGTAGGGGGGCGGCCAATTTCGGGTCAACCTCACAGGTGGTGGGCGGTTGCTGCGAATCTGATTGTGCCGGCGTTTGTACTTGAGGTTGCTTGTTTCCACCGAAGGAGGCCCGATCAACTGGGTGCTTGAACCGAAGGAAAGCTGAGCGGTCGTATCGTTCCATGCAAAAGAAGAAGATTCCAATGGTCACCAAAGCGACCAACGGGAATACCGTCTTCATTCGGAATAGAGGCATTTTGGCTTGTTATTGATAGTCGATTTTCCAACCATGTAAATAGCACAGGGCGAGACGAAACCGGGGCAGATGAACCCTGGGATTAAAAGTTATGGGTTCGGCGTGCGTGTCGTATCCTGGAAATATCGTGCAGCAAAAGCTGGTAGCAAGACGCAATTCCCTGAGGGAAGGGCCAAATAAATGAGTGTTCCAAGAGTGGATTAAAGAGTGGCAGGCAAATAAAGTGCCGAGTTATTTCAACGAGAGGCTGGTAGCGTCGGGACCTGCGACACGGTCCAAATGGGGGGAAGCGTTTGTAAAGGGAGGAAGTAGGATTGAAGAAAAGAAAAACAAGACTAACGCGGCTGGACGATGTGCCCAGTCCGAGTGAAAAGTCGATGAGAGCTTGGAGAATTGTGTCGTGAAGGTGTTGTAGGAGGAAAGAAAAAGGGAGGTCGCCGAAGCAATTAACGGGACAGGGTTGGCTGTGTACGGGTATTACCGTAATCTATTACTCAGGCCTTTTCTTTTTTTTTTTACTTCTTTTTCTATCTTTTTGTTACATCGATGTACATATATGACTTTTGTGCTGTTTTTCATATGATATGTTGCTTTCGGTGATATCAGATATCAGATATATTGCACCTTGATATTGATATCTTGGTATTTATCCCCCCGGTTGCGGGTGTTGATGCCAAGTTGGGATGCAGGAACAGAAGCCCTTCGACAGGATCTCAAATGAGATGTGGCTTATACTTTGTTTCCTTTTGGTCGTACCTGTTGAATCTAAGCGTCGATCATGACGGAAAAAGGAATGCTGTTGGCTGGGATCATCCCCTCCCAGCTTCAGTAGAATACGCCGCTATGAAACCGATGATCGGCACTGATATTCGTTTCCCTTTCCCCTGTCTTGAGCACAACAATGTTTTGTCTAACCCGGGAACAGGTGTGGTTGTTCAAGTCGGAAATGGTCATATGGCCCCTTGGCACACCAAAATAAACATGTTTCAAGTTATCAAGGTCGAAAAGGCCGTTTGCGGCGACTCATCTTCGGATGCAGGCTCGCGGGCCGATCAATTGTCTGGAGCATCTGCATAGATAAATTGTATGATAGGCCAGAAAGTCATATCTACAAATAACTCCGATTGCCCTCTCCCTCGCGTCTTCCATATGTATACGGAACAGTGAGTACCAGTATCTACATATAGATACTGCTATGTATAGATACGCCCTGTATCCGAATTCGTCGGCACACTGCATTTGCGTTTGTCTGGGCCTTAAAAATCAGCAATCCCGGACAATATAAGCGACAACCATCCGTTCCCATCCCGAGATCCCATCATGATGATGTGAACATAATAACTATAGAAATCACGTCACAGTTATCAAGGCGCTTGGACCATCAGAGTAAAGCGCCGGACTCGCGTTAAGCGTATAAATCAATGTTATACTAACCTAGTATAACAGTATATGGAAAGGACAAGTATACAAGTACGGACAATAAGAAACAAGAGCCAGGGAAATGATCACAGACGATCACCCCAGCGCCAACCAGTCAAAATTAGCCGGAGGGGCAAATGAGGCCAACGCCCCCACGGACACGCGTCCTTCTTAACAACGGTTATACCATAATGCTGGGCATAGGGTATTCTAATAATATTAGCCCATAATATATGTATTTTTAGCTAATCTGTTTTGAAACAGTATTATATTTATATTCGGTGTAGGAGAAGTTCCAGAAAAAAAGGAGACCCTGAAAGCTTATCGGGTAACGTAATTTCCAGTGGCAATAGCATCTCCTCGTCCATGGACTTCCTCACATAGTGGGCCAGGATCGACAACCATTTAAATGGGCGTTTGATATTTTGTTTCACTACTTTATACTGAATTTGAGGTTTTCCGGGGATTCCATACTGTTTCAGTTAAGGATGAGGTACAGACTACATCGCTGTACAAAGTACAAAGTGCAGGGTATACAGTGAAGGGCACTTGAAGGGCACTTGAAGGACATTTGAATGACAGTTGAAGGCACCTGAACTGTGGAGAATCAGGAGAAATCATCCACTTCTGTCCAGACCCTATGACACAATACAAATACGTATTAATAACTAGGGCACGTGTTTTCTCAGGCTTATATAAAGTACGGAGTACACGTACAGGATGACCTCTGTATCAGATTAAAAAAAGCCATGTCAGCACTTACGAATCCTCGGGGCGGGATATAAATACAATCCCTGTGATTGCACACATCCATGCAAAAGATATGCTCGTCATTTGGCTTTTTAAGCTTGAATGGTAGCCTTGGCGTCACAAAGGGGGAGATTATTCCAATGGATGGTAATGTCATGTAATGTAAAATGAAGATCAGTGCATCTCTTTTGCAAACTTTCCTATGGGTTTGACAGTACGCGTAATCGTTCTTGTAAGGGATCTTGTTCACCTGTGTTATCCACTTGGACCCTACCCAGGTAGACACCTGAGATCCCTGGACATCTAAACGCTTATCTCTGAGTACAAACCTACTAAATTTGACATGTACTCCGGAATTTTATCAGAATAGTATGTACAGATCGGCAATTGTAACGTTGACATTCAATAAATTGTTTCTAAGGCTAGAAAGGACCACATTTGAGACTTTCTAGTCTAGGTGTGTATTGTACTTCAAGACTGCTCTGGGTCTTCGGATTCGCTATCATCTGACTCTCCGGATTGGGTTTGTTCTGCTTCTTCATATTCGCCTTCATCTGATTCTTCGCTTAACTCACAGGATAAAGCAATTATGGTTTCTTCCTCGTTCCTGCCCCGAGCTAGGTCCATTGCAGTTTGACCATCGTTGTTCACTATGCTGCAATCTGCACCGGCTCTACGCAACTCCTTGGCCATTATATCGCTCTTTCCACGCCCACTTATCACTGCCAAGTGCAATGCTGTATTGCCATCATTATTCTTTACCATAAAATCTGCCCGGCCATCCGCTACCATCATATGGGGCGCCCAGTAAAAGCCGGCTCGGACAGCCTGGTGTAGTGGGGTTTCACCGTTGATGTCTCTCGAATTGGGATCAGAGCCGGCTTCAAGCAGAATCTCAAACGCATCTTCGAAAAGGCTACGAACATGTGCACATGCCATGTGAAGAGGAATTTGACCAAACGAATCTTTCGACATGGGGTCAGCTCCTCTCTTTAGAAGGAGTCTGAGTGTGTCGTCACAGTTTTGAAATGCTGCTTGGTGCAGCATAGTGCGACCAAGAGAGTCTCTAGAATCCACATTCGATCCTCCATCCAGGAGCCATTCCACCACGGTGTTGCAGTCGTGAGGCTCATCTCCGTCCATGTCCCCAGGATACGTATAGTATGGCCAAGAATGTTGATAATAAAGTGTGTTTTTGTCTGCCCAGTCAACGATATGCGGCGGCAGAAGTGTCATTATAGTTTCCGGTTCTGCAGTATGGCCATATCTCAGGGCCCGAAAGACTGGATCGCCACCACTCCAGTCTAAAGAGTCAACACTGGCACCTTTATCGCGCAAAAGCTGTATGATTTCGTGACTGCCATAACTCAAAGCCCAGTCAATGGGAGTCCAGCCATGACAATCCCGAGATTCTAGACAGGCGCCTTTCTTGATAAGACACTCAGCAATCCAGCGGCTCCTGTACCTAACTGCTAGATGGAGTGGCATCTCACCATTCGGGTCCTTGCCGTTTGGGTCTGCTCCATATTCTAGCAAGAGCTTGATGGTTTCATTGGAGTATAGGAATACAGCAATGCATAATGGCGTGCAACAATTGATGTAGCCTTCATCGCCCACCGGACGTCCATACCGGACGATGGGCGACAGCTTCTCAAGTGCCATCACACGGAATTCTTCGATTGGCATGAGCTCTTGCATATTACCATTTGCATCCAGGCCATGGGGGTTCACACCATATTCCAGTAAACTATCAACCAGGAAGGTGCGATCCAGGAATGCCGCAGTCCATAATGGCATGAAACCATAGCGGTTCTTCAAGTAAGGGTCTGCACCGTGCTCTAGTAAAGCACTAGTCACCGACAATTTCTCTTCCGGGCAGCTGGTGCGTGGGACCCTGTAACCTCTGGCTACCCAATGAAAGGGTGCATCCCCCTCACCGTCAATGAAATTGGGATTAAATCCACAATCGAGTAACGTCTGCACAGTGTTCTCGTTCCCTTGCATAGCCGCTATATGCAACGCGGAAGTGTTCGATTGGTTGAGGCTATAGAGATTGACACCGTAATCAAATAAGAATTTGATCATTTGTCCGTCGTTGCTTTCGGCCGCAATGTGCAGTGGTCTCTTGCCATCCTCATAGACATATTCTAGATCCACTCCGTTGTTAAGAAGGACCTTTGCCACTTCAAGTCGACCACATTGAACCGCTCCCACCAGTGCAGCTTGGCAGTACATTTTCATATAATCGCACACCTTGGACCCGTACTCAATCAAGAATCTGACGGTTCTAGGGTATCCATGGCGTGCTGCAATATCGAGCGAGGTCCGTATAGTCTCCGCTACGTCGGAGCCAGTGATAGCGCCCACATCGAGAAAGTACTGGACAGCTTGCGATCGCCCGTTTTCCAAAGCCCAGAAGAACCCAGCTTTGTCGGTCTGTTTAACAGCATATACATAGAGTTGCCGGTTGAGCACGGCATAGCAACGATAATTTGTTTGGGCAAAGGCGTTGATGTCAGCCAATGACATCAAATGGTCTGCTATGGCCAACAGAATTTCATTTGGTAACCTAAGCAGAGCCATCATAATATGAAATCCACGGCTGCGGGGTGTCGAAATGGAACGAATATGACATGGGAAAATCAGCAGAGTACCGACAGACTGAACTTAGGGGGCTGAAAATTGCCAAGAACGCTAGGCACCTTAGTCCCTGTGGTCAGGCATTGGGCTCTCTGATGATAGTTACAGATATATAAAAAGGGGCCGTTTCTGGTCTCATAAGCCATTCTCGTCAATTGTACTGATGCTAGTTGATACTATGCCTCGTGGAGGTTGGACCTTCCAAGCTTGCTCTTTCCTCCATTGATCTCTCTTCCCTCATCTTCCCTTCTCTTCCTCCCCAGCAGCTTCACTCAGTCCATTGAATACGACCCTCGCCACTCATACAACGCTTCCGGAACCCATGTCTATAGGGAAACTCTCTAGTCCAGACTGAATTTACCCGAGTTGTCTGCAACGAGGTACTATATCAAGTTTGATACAATCAACACACCCTCCCAGAACGAGAAATCCTTTAACCAAGAAAAGCACGCCCAAGGAGGACTAGGGCCTCGGTTGAAGTCGTTTGACACACGGTACGGATCGACGGAACCCTGGATGGCCGATATATTCAGTGCCGGCAAGCATGAACAATTCGGACACCTCAACTGGTGCCCAGCTAAACCAATGGGTGAATATCGAGATGGATCGAACAGCCCGAAGGTATGCGGTCCATGGCGGTAATATCGAACTCGATGTTACGACTGTCGGTCACGATGACTTGGTCAATCCAGCTCACGTAGAGCGGTGGTAGCCCGGGTCTCATAAGCGACCATTCTCGGCGTTGAGTACAACATTGCTCACAGGTCCTCATATATGGTCAGTGAAGACATCTAACCTGCCCTTGCGAGTCTAATATGGATGGGGGGAGATAAAACGGGGGGCTGTAATCTTGACCGGGGTGGTGCGATCTGGCACTAGAGCTGCAGGCATACGAATTCTTCGCCTTCTCTTCAATGTTAAGATCATCTTTACCATCCGCCCCGAGTCACTTTTTGGGTCAACAGCCTTATTTGCGTAATCACGAGTTATACTGCCTCCCTCTTTTCTTCTTTCCTAATATGTTAGACGAGTGAGATCCCAGGCTCCAAAGCTTTTCAGCAAATGACCCCGCACATGCGTTTGATAAGGAGTTTCTGGAAGGTTGCCAGCGAGGAGATATTGCCCAAGTCAGGCAGTCCCTTGCCCAACAAACTCAGCGTGGCCGTGAATGGGTAGATTCTGGCAATGAATGGAATCGTGTTCAGAACCAACGGATGCAATGGTGGTTGGCTTGTGGCCTTGATGAAGCCACTAGGAATGACCAAATCGTCGTCATGGAATATTTGCATTCGAAGGGGGCACCGATTCGGCACAGGACAGTGGAGGCGGCCAGGTCAAGAGCTTCTTGGGAGTTTTTACTGAATCATGGCTTGGATGTGAATAACCCCATGCCAGACGCCGAGGTACCGCTTATGTGAGTCAATCCCACCGGATTTCGATTACTTGGAACTAATGGACTCTTTCCAGGCACGTTGTTTGGTTCCTCTCGCTTGGTGCGGATCCTAATTTTGGTCAGAACGAGAGTCGCTTGAGAGTTGAAGAAGGAGCTATACAGCTATTTTCTCGTCCCGAACGCAACTCAGGTGCTGCATTAGAACTGGCTGCTTGGTTTTGCGACATGGAGATTTTGGAGATTTTGCTTGGGCATGGTGCTAAGCTAGAGAACAGTTTTGCACTGCATCGGGCCATGATGAGAAAGCCCAGCGAACGAATTCCCTTCGCGGAGCGTCTTCTCAGCCTTGGAGCTGACATTAATCGTATTAGATTCCTTTCTCCTACAATATTGCAGGGTGGAATCCTCTCTCGGTGGCCGCCAGGGCTTGTGGGTTAGATCAGATACGGTGGTTGCTGGAGCACGGTGCGGATCCTTTTGCTTGTGGACCCCATGGGATAAGGCCAATCGACTATGGTATACTGGGGGACGGGCGCACTTCACGGTTTGGACAGGTTGCAGAGCTCTTGAACGAGTGGATAAAGTGCCACAGGCCTAAATAACCGGACATCGCAGACTTGGAAAACTGGATGCCTAAGTTCCAAGAGGAATAAATTGGTCCCGAAGGCAGCCTCGGCCGTCTTTGCCTTTGCTCTGTTTTATGAAACCATTTAGCCCAATAAAAATGAGTTCTTCACTACAAATGTACATCGTACCAAGGAGGAGTCATTCGTACCGTGTCTGGCTAATGTGACTCGGTTCATTTTGATAGCTGAGTTAGTCTTATCACTCTAAAACTAGATCCAATCCTCAGATGATCGTATACACTTTCACTACATGTTGCGCAAGATAGCCAAAACAAGCTCCAGGATGTAATCTTGTATATTATAAGGCTAACCTATTGAAGAAGTTCGTTATATTTAGTGTCTATTGTCTTAATATAGCAGACTAGCCAACTCTCTAATGCTTTTTCTTCGTTGCGAGGCCATCCCGGTCGGCCCTAAGTTAGGGCACTCGCTGAGTACATAGGCTCATAGGGTGATTTTTTACTAATAAAACGCTCTTATTTCAAAATCCAATGTGATTGGCCTAGTGGCGCAGTGGTAACGCGTCGCACTTGTAATGCGAAGACCCCGTGTTCAATTCACGGCTAGGCCCTTACTTTTTTTTTGGCTTTACTACAGCCCCCTGTAGCCGTACCAGCACAACTAAATTCCTAAGATTGGTTCTTATCGTTGTATTCCATGCAATTATTTTCTCAGCCACAAGATTGAATACCTAGGAGAGATGTTGATATCAAGAATCAGAACTATTTTATGATTTGTTAGAAGCCAAGATGTCTTCTTCTCTTATAAAGTATTGTTATCACATATTCCGAAGCTTCGTTATTCCCTATCTATATAATATTGTTCACAGAATGATTTTAAAGAAATTCAAACAAATACCTTTTGTATAGCCTCCAATGTCGAAGGCTGGTTTTACGGAGTAAGGAGTAGTACTCTGTAGACCCGGCTCAATTCCCCAACAATGCGGAGGGCTAGGCTACCTTAGATACCAGCTTATGTTGGACCATTATCACGTAAGAATCTAATTGAACAATTCACGGCCTAGTAGCGCAGTGGTTAACGCGTCGCACTTGTAATGCGGAGATTCCCGTGTTCAACTCACGGCTGGGCCTTTTTTTTTTTTTTTTGACATTATTTTCATTTCCCTCTCCAGCCTAGGTAAAGCCGTCTGCATTTAAAAAGTAATTCGCAAGTAGCCGTTTTACCATACCTTTTTTTTTTTGAAGGATAGAAAGCATACTCATGCTTTTTCTTCGTTGCGAGGCTAGCCCGGTCGGCCCTAATTTAGGGCACTCACTGAGCAGGTTCATAGGGTGATTTTGTACTGATTCCAAGCTTGGTGATAGAGAGCAATACATTTGAAGGTTTAGTTTTGAAGAATAACCCATTATTCAAATCACCCAAGGAATGTGATATGCCAGATTTTAGGGTAGGGCAACGTAGATTAGACTATCAACATTATCTGTATTATAGGCTCGAACATGTAGCGAAGCCCAACCATCATAGGGCTGAACCCGCTCAATAGTTGCCAAATATTGCCATAGTTCTCCCCGGGGGCTTCTTGGCCCAATGTATGTAGAGGATCATGGTCATAAGGAACAACTGCTGGTACTTCTTCTTGGCCGTGAAGAAATTGGTGCTTGAGATAGCATCAGCGAAGGTATGTACATAGCTGATTGTGAGAAGGGTTGCATCTTGGAAGAGCAGCATGGATATGGAGCTGTGGACGATCGGTGTAGATCCAATCTGCCAACTCTGGAGGACTGTTTGGATGGCAGACTAAAGAGGTAAAAAAGTCGGAAGATAGTGACAAAAAAGACTGATTTTGGCCTGCTTTAGGCAGCTATGAGCCTAGCGGGTGATTGTTTATGCTCATGCCATATGTTATAGTCGTGAAAATGAATGCTGGGTACGTCTTATCATAACGTGCTGGTATGAGTTTTCAATGAACCTATGATAGTTCATTAGGGTGTGCTTTCATTGCCGAGTGGAGAAATACTATACATTAAGGCGAAGCCAAGCCCTAATTTGACCCCAATCTCCGATTTCCATCAGTCGTCCTAGCGCTGCCTCAAATTTGAACGCATCTAGATAGAGAGTCACAAGAAAATAAGTGGTATGAATTGGGGCTGATGATATGTGGACGTACCATGGAGTATTCATTCTCTTTTCTCGGGGAGCTAGTGTAAGACTGCAGGGTGATGATTATTGCATTTACGACGACCGGCGCCAATGCAAGTACACGTCACACTTACTATAATGCTGCAGATACCAAGTCTATCTCAGCCAAAATTTGGGAGACAGATCTCATCAAAAGGCCACGGCCCGCTCATCTGGGGTAGATTGCTCAATATGCACAAGGTTTGAAAGCAGACTAGGTATGTTGTAGACTGCATGTGAGTTCGCTTGAACTGCAGGGCTAAATTTTGTGATTCAGGATGAGTTTCTATTGGACTTGACTTCCAGGAGAGCATATCTACGAATATTTGAAAGCAAATTTGGACTGTAAGTGATCATTTGACTTCGATTGCCCTTCACTTCAAGCCTCGAGTTCCTTGTAGATACCTCCCAAGGGCCATCATAGGAAAATAATGGCGGTAGTAATCATAGCCCAGATAAAAATGATTTGGAAACCCAGTTCCAGTATATACAGCTTGGGGCCATGATGATCCGCCTTTCTCTGGTCTTTGTGAGGATACCAGGTACCGAATCCCGCGCTCAATAGCATCATCTGTGACTGGAAGATGAGAGAGCAACCCCATCAACGCCCACGCAGTTTGCGACGGCGTTGAAGCTTGCTGCTCTTGGTCGGGAGATTGATATGATAGGAGGGACTCGCCCCAGCCGCCATCGTCATTTTGCCTTGACTTCAGCCACTGTAGAGCTGGCTGAATCATGCGAACTAGACTTTCCTCGCCAAAATAAGCCAGACCACACAGCGCATGACTCGTGCCGTAGATGTAATTGCAACCCCATCTTCCGAACCAAGATCCATTGGACTCCTGCGTAGAAGCAAGGTAATGCACGCCGCGCGCACAAGCGGCACGTAGTGTAGGCAATATATCTGCACCAGTCTTTGCAGAATATTTCATCATCAGACCGAAAGCTTCAAGGATCCGCCCAGTGATGTCAGCGCACGACGTATCACACAGGCTATCCATGTCGCTGAATGGGATTTTATTGAGAAATTGTTTATCATTTTCCACATCAAAAGCAGCCCATCCTCCATCGGGGTTCTGCATGCCTAGAATCCACGTGGCAGCTGCAATTACCAAATTCGAAGCAACAGATCCAGCGTCATGCTTCACTTGAGCGAGGATAATCGCAGCTGTGTCATCCACGTCGGGATACCAGCTGTTTTCGTACTCGAAGCTGAAGCCACCGGGAGTTAACTGGGGTCGGTATACCCGCCAATCCCCGCGGGGTTCGAGCAACTGGCGAGCTCTGATCCACTTGAGAGCTTGGTCTATGGCCTGTTTATTGGGTGACATAGCATCGCAGAGCCCAATCGTCATCAAAGCCGTATCCCAGACGGGTGAGACACATGCTTGGATTCTCTTTCCTTTTTCATCTTCCCACGCAAATCTCTCTAAGGCTTGGAATCCAAGGCGAACCGGGTCGTCCTCTAGCTTGTAGCCTTCTAGCGTAAATGCGTACATGCTGGCATGCATGGGTGGGAATATTCCAGCCCAATCACCGGTCTTTTCCTGGCGCTCCAATATCCATTTCATGCACTGTTTTCGGGCGTACGCTCGGACCAGAGGTATGGCACGAAGTCCATTCAGTTGATAGAGCACTTTGTCCAAAACTCCGAAGGCTAGTCCCGTGAATTCTCTTTGAGATATCAGATCCCACAGAGATAGGCCGTAAGGTACATTTTTGTTCGTATCTACCCATAGCTCGTCTAGGTAGTCGTTCGTAGCAGACTTTCCATTCGGTAGCGAGTAGATAGGTTGATGATGACAGATGATTAACAGAGGAGCAATAGTACCGCGAGCCCAAGATGCGAATTTGTAGATGTTGATTGGGCAGATGGAGGGTAGAAGCATGAGCTCCACGGGAAGCTCTGGTACAGCATTCCAGGGGAACAGACCAAAGGTAGCCAAGAATATACGAGTGAACACGCGTACGCGCGCGACCCCGCCTGCTTCTAGTATGGACGCTCGGGCCCGTCGCATGGCTGGGATCTGCGGGCTTGTTCCCAAGATTTTCAGTGCGAGATAGGCCTCGGTCGAGGTCGATACATCGCCTGGATACTCGGGTGCCAGACCCCAGGAACCATCACTATTCTGTTGAGATAGTAGATAACGGCAGTAAGCTTCGACATCAGCTTTGAGATCTAGTCCCAAGGCCTGCTGGAGGAAGATATATTCAGCAGTCACGGTGACATTGCTATTCATCTCGCCGTACCAATGACCATCGGGATGGACCAGCCCGAGTGCATAGTCATTTGAAAGATTCAACGCATGCTCTACTTGAGAAATAATGGAAGAACCGTCAGACTCTTTTCGTGTGGTCATATTCGTGATGTTGTTGTGTCAATTGTTGAGGATAAAACGGTGTGCAATCAAAGGATAATATTTGACTTTGCACTCAGGATATGTAAATTTATACATGTTGCCAATCCCTTGCAAATATCTGAACCGGAATAAACGGAAAGATCGGGATCTTCATTTCCTAATAGCTGCATTAGTCCAAAGAAGCAAAAGTGAGCGCTAACGCGGCAGCAATATATATACCTGCAGCGTGATATGTCCCCCAAATGACCTTGGCAAGACAGCGTTGTACACTAGTATGACACATTATCCCCGCAGTCATAACTGATCGGTTAAATCAATTTTCTGTTCTTTTTGCGAAGAAGTTGTAAGTCGCAGAAAGCCGGCCCTGGTGGTGATTTACACCATATCCCTCCCGTCTGTCAATGACTGCTTATCTGACGGCCAACACAATATCTCAACCATGTCGACTCAGCCATCACCAGGAGCTACCAGACAAGGGAGCCTCTTAGGGGCTATTTTGTTGGCTTTTGTTGGAATTCAAATTGTTCTCTTAGCACGGGGACTATACCAGACCCGAAAGCTTCGAGCACTTGAACGACTGTATGGCTGCGAGAAGCTCTGCGACGAAAGCGATTTTCGATACGACGTATTCGGTATAGTGAAAGCAATAAAACTAGGTTCTCATTTTCGGCGGCGAACATCACTCCTCTACACAAATTCTCTATTTCAGAGATATGGCGAAACGTATGCTTCCGATGTCCTCGGCCACCGATTGATTTTCACCTGTAGTGCAAAAAACATCAAGCATATGTTGTCCATAGCGTTTGTCGATTTCGATAGTTCTCCCTTGCGAAAACCATTGTTTGAGTCAATCACTCCACATGGCATTTTCACTCTCGATGGTGCAGACTGGAAGAGAAGTCGAGGGCAGATGCGGAATCGGCTGTCTAACCTCCGAAGTGTCATTGATCTAGACTTATGCGAACAGCACTTCCAGGCCTTTCTTCAACACGTTCCACCAAATGGCCAGGTCTTTGACGTTCAACGTTGTACTTCTGCTCTCGCTTTGGATATGCAGACCCGGTTCTTCCTCGGAGAGTCTGTTGATGCCCTCAGCTTTACTCAGTCCCAAGAAAAAAAGCAATTCATAGAAGATATTGAGATCGTCAAAGAAATAATCGTGCGAGACGGGTTTCGTGGTCCACTCCGTCATTTGATGCCGAAGCGAGCTTTCCATAAATCGTGTTGGAGAGCACGGAAATATATAATGGCTCAAGCCAGGCGGGAAGTTGAAAGACGAAGCAGCAGTATCGAAAAGACCAAAGATGGACATGCTAGCACTGATTTCAACAAATCCGAAGAAATTTCGTTGTTCGCCGATCAGGCAATGAGCATTGTGTTCGCAAATGACAGCATGAGCACCACACTCTCGGGTCTTTTATTTTGCTTATCCAAGGACGAACGTATCGTGAAAAAGCTCCGAGCAAGCATAATCGACGCCATTGGACTCACTCCACCAACGTGGAATCAGCTTGGAATGTTGCATTATGTTCGCTGGGTACTCCAGGAAGGTGAGGAAAGCCTGATAAACCATTTAGCAAGCATGCACTGACATATAGCTTCGAAGTATTGAGAATTTTTCCCGCCGCTGTGTTCAATGCAAGGGTAGCAAACAAACATTCCACAATGCCAAGTGGAGGAGGAGCCGACGGTCAGTCGCCGGTTCTAGTTCGAAGGGGTGATATTGTGGTTTTTTCAACCTGGGCTCGGCATCGCCTAGGGAAAGAATTTGGAGAAAACCCAGAGAAGTTTTATCCAGAGCGATGGGGACACCTAAGCAGTGATATGCCCGGATTTATCCCGTTCAATAAGGGTCCTAGAATCTGTCCTGGTCGTAAGCTTTCTTCCCTTGCTCCTATGTCAATACATCAACTTACGACCATGCAGAACAATATTCTATGACTGTACTCACGTACATTGTGGCACGTATTTTCCAGACCTTTTCGACGGTATCCGACTATAATACCAAAGAATGGACAGAAAGGATTAGCTTGACATTCGAGAACGAAAATGGGGTTCTGGTTGGGCTAAGCTGAACTTTTCTCAGAGGTGATTGAATATCTTACGTGCAAACAATCTGCAAGAACTGATCAAAGTGGATTTGGAAATGATATTCTTCTCAATTTGATAACAACTGTAACGAAAAATAGTGGATAAAATCATGGTAAACCGGTAGACTCAACCCATCTATGACTAAGTCAGCTAGCCCTAAAGAAAGCCAACCGTATCAACCTCAACAAACCTTTTGACGAGGCTTCCTAATCTCAAAAAACACATTCTCATATTTCCTCATCTCGTACGGCGCCGTCCTTAGAAGCGCCTCCTTCCGCTTCCTAGTCCAGCCCTTGACACTCCTCAAGTGTTGCAAACCATGAACGCCAGCCATCGGATCCAAAACTTGACTGACATCCAGATTTGCAGGACTGATATAAAGCGGGTCGTGAATGGGATCCCCTTCCAGTTTGTATTCTTCCTCCAGCGCAAGGTGCTCCTTCTCCGGTGCGGTTTTGGACGGGTCGTATGGAGATTTGTGACGTCCGACTTCGTCGTCTGTGCCTGATTGGCAGGTTTCTGCTCGCTCAGGGTTGAGGATACACCTTTCGAGGGTGAGAATCTCCTCTGTTTGAGGAGCTTTCTGTGGTTGGAGGTAACAGGTGCTGCGAAGGGGAAGTGAGTGCATGGGGTAGGTGGTGGCTGCTTGGAACGCCCGGTTCAGGGGCTTCATATTCTTCATGATTTTTGATTGTGCTATCAGCTCAAGGTATCTGTGAGGATTTGGATTTTAGAGCAGAGAAGTTACTGTGTTTTTGGGTTTACCCCGGACTCTCTTATACCCCGTGGCCACACAGTTGGGAATGACGTCATCATTTTTGAAGGCGAAATCTTTCAAGTCTATGAGTAGAGGGACCCCGAAAGTGATTATATGCAGATCCTAGTATCTGATATGTTATCGAAACTTGTATGAACATTGACATGTTGCGGCTTGATGGCCGAAGACTGCATATATTCCGCTGTATGCATAACCCGAAAGAAAAGATCCATTCAAAAACAAAGAGAAAGCTCAGCTTGACTTTTAGGTGCTGTATAAGAACCTGGGGTTTCGATCACCCATTTCCTGGATATCCTGCTCCGACAGCGATGCTATTTTCTCGTCTTCCAGCCCCTGGACTCTGCGTTTGTTGATGAAACGATAAGCAACCCACATGCCGCCATACACGAGACCCGCAAATGCCACCATACCCAGAGTAACAGCGTTACCACGGACGAAGCGCGGGCCTTCGGAATTAGGATACAAGAAAGGGGACATGACTCCGCTGATGTTTCCAAAGGTAAGCTGCAAGCCAGTTGCGTAGGTGCGTTTTGCGTATCGTGGCAGGTTGGTAGGCAGCCAGGCGAGAGGTAAACCAACAGCAACGTAAAGCCCCAGCGCGACCATCAAGGCACCGAAGTAATGGACACCCGAGGACGAGTCCGAAATCAAGATGCCATAGCCAACGACTGAGATAGCACAGAAGAGACAGATGAACATTGCACGTTGTTGGGTGCGGTCGCTCAACCAGGCAACGCTCAGATAGGCAATGGCACCGAGTCCGTAGCAAGGGATTGTCAATGCCTGGACCTCGGCGGTGGTCCAATTGCCCATGCCTTTGATAATAGTAGGAAGGAAGGTACTATATCCATAGAGCATGGTATCGATACCAAACTGGCCAATGGAGAACGCCCAGATCTTCCAATCTAAGACACCCTCTTTCACATCCGCCCAGTGGAACTTCTGGGCAGACTCTGTCTGGCCGATATAACGACTCCGGCGGCGGGCAACAAGCACCCGCTCCTCTTTGTTGAGATAGTAAGCCGTGTCCGGGTCATCTGCCAAGCCGAACCAAGTTACCACGCCAAGTAGCACTGTCGGAATTCCCTCGATGATCATGATCCAGCGCCAGCCTCGCATTCCACAGATGCCGTCCATAAACCCAATTCCGTAAGCCAGTAAGCCGCCAAAGGCTCCCGCAATAGCAGCACTGCTAAACAGGTAGCTGGTTCGCAAAGCAATCTCGCGTTTGCTATAGAAGAGAGTGAGGTAGGTTATGAAGCCCGGGAAAAGACCTGCTTCTACGACTCCGAGTAGAACTCGGCAGGCGATCAAGCCACCATAATTTTGAGTGATCCCTGTGAGGGTTGCAATGATACCCCACAGCACTGAGATTGTGGCAATATACCGAGAGGGCCTTAGTTTCTTGAGTACAAGATTTGAGGGGACCTCGAAAAACTGAACATTGGGGTTAGCGTCCGTGCGGTGACTGGATTGCGTGATATACATACACAGTAGGTCACGAAAAGGATGGACACGGAGACTTGGTACTGGTTGCCAACGAGTCCCAAGTCCTCTTCCAGACCGTACAATCGTGCATTTCCAATGTTGACTGCATATTCAAGTCAGCTGATGCTTTCAATTGACCTGTTGACACAGGCCAGTTGCAAATCGCAAAAAGATGAGTCAGGCACCCCACCCCCACGTACCTCGATCTAAGAAACTGAAGAGATACAACAACACCACGAAAGGAAGGATATGTAGGTCAATCTTTCTGATCAGAGTCTTTTCGACCTGTTCCTCGTCGAGAGTTGGTCCTGAGCTGAGTTCATCGGACACATCTTGGTTAGGTGAACCGGTGTCAGGTTCAGCATGGCCCATGATGAGAAGCCAAAGATTAGATAGAAAGATAATTATGAAGGCCCCTGGGTATTTGCAAACACTATCAAAGAACCTTGGCCTCGGAAGGGTAAAATCTCACACGAAAAGCCAAAAGCGAAAAGGAAGAATTAAAGTTGCCAAGTGCCAAGAAGTTGGATAACCCTTGCAGTCGATTGATAAGACCTCGGGACTGTAGTCCGTCTACTTTGTTATAGTTACTCTCTTTTTGTTCTTTTTATTTCTTCTTGGATATTGATCTAAAATGTGCAATATAGAATACCAAAACAATAATGGACAGCCCTAGGTCCTGGGTAGTCCTGGGTAGTCCTCGTTAGTAACCTTCCAAGTTTGGAAGTACATCGGCATTTGCATAAGATGACATAAATTTATAGATGCCTGAGGCCAACATATCAATACAAGTTCCAATATCAGCAATGCCCTTATAATAAGTAGAGGCTATAGAACATATATAGCTTAGTAAAGTCTCTGTATAAAATTTCCTACCGTTAAGCAAAAATAGGAAGGTCAGCAGATCTCACCATAGACGGGCCTGGCCAGCTTACCTAATCCCCCCCAATCCCGCAGTGATTTTTTTGCCTATTGCCTATTTGCTGCAGAAAGCGAGACGAACTATCACCTTTCTGGTTCTCTTCTGCATTATAGTCAAGGATTGATATCTTGCCATGAACGGGACTTTTTTCTCTGTTCACGTTCACCCCGCAATGCATTGCTGACGGACCACACACTGAACTTCATTCTCACTATGAGAAGTCTTCCACCTCGTGTTTTACAGAGCTTCGCAAACGACTCCTGAAATTTGCTATCTAAAAGTTGTGATATTTTCATTTCTCCACCATAAGAGATCTGGAACATCGACATCCTGTCTTTCCGCTCTCTTGGGTCTCGCACAACCAAAATATCAAAATCCATCAAAATCATCCAATCCAGAAAAAAGTGCCGATGACCGACTTAGTCACTCCTTCCTTTGGGAAGTTAGTCGCATCCAAAACCCTTGATGGCCATACCGGCTGGATTTGGGATGTGACCCTTTCTAGCAATGGTCAAATTCTCGCCTCAGTCTCCAATGACATGATGATCCGGCTATGGAACGCCACCACCGGTCTCCAGCGCGGAGCCGCAAAAGACAACGGTCATTCCCACTGGGTGCGCGCTGTGAGATTTTCCCCAGCAGGCCGATTCTTGGCCACTGCTTCCGATGATATGACCATTCGCATCAGCGACGTAAACACCGGATTCACCTACCGCATGTTGCAAGGCCACACTGGTAAAGTGCGAGCGGTGGAATTCTCCCCTGACGGAAGAACCCTCGCTTCAGCCTCAGATGATTTCACGGTACGACTGTGGAATGCGAGCTCGGGCTCGCTGCTCAAAACCCTCAATGGACATTCGGGTTGGGTGCGAGCTGTGGCCTTTTCGCCTGACGGAAAGACTGTCGCTTCAACCTCAGACGATACAACAATTCGTCTCTGGAATACAACCACCGGCAACCAAATTCATCAACTCAATGGTCATGAAACCTCAATCAGGGCTGTCTGCTTCTCTCCCAATGGGAAGCTGCTAGCGTCCGGGTCGCAGGACAAGGATGTGCGCATCTGGGATACGACTTCTGGCACCATGCTCAACATCCTCCGCGGTCACTCGGGACCTATCCGCGTGATCAAATTTTCTACTGATGGGAACAAGGTGGCATCTGCGGCTGATGACCAGACAATCCGCGTATGGGCTGCGCCATCAGGGTTTGCCTGTGTCCGAGTCTTAACGGGATATTCGGGGTGGGTTCGGGCTATTACTTTGTCTAGCAATGAAAACATGGTAGTCTACACGTCTGATGACATGACTATCAAGATCTGGAACTCGGCGTGATTCTCCCTCGGCAATGGCCTGGGGATGGTCTAGGAATACGAGGGAATATCCTTCTCGTTGACGCACGCGTTTGTTTATTTTTTTTGTTTGAGATACCCACCAATGTTCTTGATTCTTCAGCTCGCATGCAATTCCTTGCGATTAACAATCAACTTATTTTAATTGATCAAAAGCCGGAACCAAAACTTGTCTCTTTTATCTGGTTTGAGGTCGAAGTCGCTACAGCCAAGATCGTCCACTTTGTTCAACACTACTTTGTACGTCAGGTTTTCAATCTACCAGCCTACTCATGCAAAAAAGTGAGACACGGAAACGTGCTGGATGTGTTGCAAATCTCTACCTATTCCCAACTTTTGCACAGGGCTAGTGTGACTCACTCGGAATCTTCTACCCAGTTTATTAGCCAATAGGACAGCATGTGTTGCTACCCCTGTCGCAAACGCTTAATCAGTATGGGATCAAATTAGGCAAAGATGGGCACTCTAGCTCTGATCGAGCTCTATGACTCAATTGGATAGAATGTGCCCTTCAACATTTCTCTCTTGCCAGCCAGTATCTTTACTGGGACTGAGATCATGAGCCAACCAGTAGATACACCAAACCAACCAATGTCAAATGAAAAACCTCACCAAGTCTATGGTGAAACCAACAGCAAGCCCACAATCACAGAAAATGTCCTCCAAGAAAAGGCCGAGACCCAGTCCTTGATCATTGACTTTGAAGAAAACGACCCCGGAAACCCACTGAACTGGCCCAGATCAAAAAAATGGACGATAACACTTGTCGTCTCTCTTTCGGTGTTTCTAATGCCACTATCTTCATCAATTGTCGCACCCGAGCTGAGCACCATCAAAGATGAACTGAACATGGGCAGCTCATTAGAAGCAGTTCTAGTCATGTCAACCTTCATCCTGACCTACTGTCTCGGCCCTCTGATACTAGGCCCATTGAGCGAGATGTTTGGAAGAGCCGCAGTCTTACACTCGGGGAATACATTCTACCTAATCTTCAACCTGGTGTGTGGGTTCGCTCAAAATAAAGGCGAATTACTTGCTTCCCGTCTCCTCGCCGGCTTTGGAGGCGCGGGTGGACTTGTTGTGAGTAGACCCCTTCTTGTACAGCTAGGTCGTGCTCTAATGCACCAATATAGGTGGGCGCTGGTATCATCAGCGACTGCTTTCCCAAAGAAGAGCGCGGCTGGGTAATTGCCATCTACAATCTTGGGCCAGTCTTTGGCCCTTCCCTGGGTGCTGTCATTGGCGGGTTCATCACTCAATACACGACATGGCGTTGGGCATTCTGGGCAACATCTATCTTCGACGGGGTCTTGATCGTGCTTGGTTTACTTGTTATGCAGGAAACATACCCACCCGTCATCCTCGCGAGGAGAAAGGCAAAGATGTTGAAAACGGCTGCGCCAAATACTCTATTGAAGACACCTTATGAGAAACCAGACCAGACTCTCGGCCAGCTATACCGCAACTCTCTTCTCAGACCCCTGCAGCTACTGAGAGTTCAGCCCATCGTCCAGCTCCTAGCCATCTTCTACGCCTATCTATACGGACTAATGTACCTAGTTCTCTCGACCTTCACAACTCTCTGGGCAGAGAAATACCACCAGCTCGTCGGTCCAGCTAGTCTGAACTACCTCGCACTGGGAATCGGATACTTCCTCGGCTCACAGGTATGCGGGTTCCTCGCAGACCCAATCTATAGAGCCCTCAAGAAGAAACATGGCGGGAATGGAAAACCGGAATTCAGAGTAGTTCTCATGTTCCCCGCCTCGATCCTCGCCCCGGTCGGTTTGCTGTGGTACGGTTGGGCAGCGCAGGCAGTCACTCATTGGATTGTGCCTGATCTTGGAATCGCACTATTTGCTGGTGCTGCGATGGTTCTATTCCAGTGTACCAGTGCATATCTGTATGAGGCTTTTACTTTGTATGCGGCTAGTGCGACGGGTGCTGTTTATATTCTTCGTGGATTGACGGGATTCGGATTTCCTCTCTTCGGTCCGAGGATGTATCAGTCCTTGGGTTATGGATGGGGGACCACTATGCTTGCTCTTGTTGCTGTTATTATGGGCTTTCCGGTGCCTGTTATTCTTTGGAGATATGGTGAGCGACTTAGAGCTCGGAGTAGTTATGCTGTGGGGTAAAGTATTAATTTAAAAGTTATAATTCACTTGAATTCCTACAATGTATGGAACATCAAAAGACTTTATAAAAGAGGATATTCGGTGCAACAGGTTAATGCATGAAGCCAGCATGAAGCTATGTAACCTCGGTCTAATTATTCACCTCCGCACCTACTAATATCCCAGATTTTGACTTGGATTCTCTAACTTTCCAACTGTCAACGATTTAGAACGCTTTACAATGTCTGATAACTACGGTAGCTACCAAACGGAGATATATGGCAAGGGTGCCTTGATGGGAATCCTGCCCGGTGTAACCACCGACCCCCGCAAGCTAGAGGAACATGCTCGAGAGTCGCTAGGCGTTCGCGCATTCAATTATGTCGCCGGTGGAGCAGGCGAGAAGGCGACGATGGATAGCAACCGGCTGGCATTCCGGCAGTGGAAGCTGTAGGTTTCTAGATGTTCCCCACGATACTCAAAAAACTAATGCATGAGCCCGATAGAATCCCACGAATGATGCGAAATGTGAGTCGAGACAATCTACAGTGAAACTACGTTCTCACTGACCAACGACATACGCAGACACCCGAGCAAGACGTTTCAGTCGAGCTCTTCGGTCAGAAATACGATAATCCCCTTATCATGGCACCGGTCGGCGTCCAGGGCATCTTCCACGAAGACAAGGAGACAGGTCTTGCAGAAGTATGCGAGGAAGTCGGGGTACCGTATACGATGAGCACGGCGAGCACGAGCTCGATTGAAGATGTTGCGACCGCCAATAAGCACGGGAAGCGATGGTATCAGCTGTACTGGCCGAGGGACAATGATGTTACGCTGTCGCTGCTAAAGCGGGCCAAAGAGAGCGGGTTCTCGGTTCTTGTTGTTACCTTGGATACATGGTCGCTGGCGTGGCGACCGGCGGATTTGGATAATGCCTATGTACCCTTTATCAAGGGGGTGGGGAACCAGGTCGGGTTTAGCGATCCTGTTTTCCGCGCGAAGTTCGAGAAGGAAACTGGATCGAAGATTGAGGAGGATATTATTGGTGCTTCGCGTGCGTGGATCGGGGACATTTTCGCTGGTAGTCCGCATTCGTGGGAGGATTTGGCTTTCTTGCGGAAGAATTGGGATGGGCCGATTGTGTTGAAGGGAATTCAGCACGTGGATGATGCGAGACTGGCGCTAGAGCATGGATGTGATGGGATTGTGGTATCAAATCATGGTGGTAAGTGATTTCTTTTCCTTTTTGCTCATGTCTTCTAATAATTTTCATCCAGGCCGTCAAGTGGATGGTGCTATCGGGTCTCTGGACGTTCTTCCGGAAATAGTCGATGCAGTCGGTGACAAGATGACGGTACTTTTCGATTCCGGTATTCGGACAGGTTCGGATGTGATCAAGGCACTATGCTTGGGAGCCAAAGCAGTTCTTGTTGGTCGACCGGTGATTTACGGACTCAGCATTCAGGGCCGAGACGGGGCCAGACAGGTGCTTCAGGGTCTTTTGGCCGATTTGTGGCAGAACATGGGCCTATCGGGGATTCGGAGGGTGCAAGATTGTGATCGGAGTCAGATTCGCAAGGTGCAATACGGAGGTGACGTGAAGGCGATGATGTAGGGTGAATCAGATTGAGTACGGAGTACTCCGTACATAGTACGTGTATAGAAATCCGGGAAGTCGATCACATGTGAAATGGCCGATCTTCAACAGTTGGGATTACCTGGCTCACACATATGTACATGAACAACTGTAAAATGTAAAACCTTCATGGATTCAATATTCTTGATATGTTTACAAAGTCTAAGGATGAAGCAAAACCTGATGTCGAGATGAATTTGGACTATCCGCACGCCCATCCTCCCTCAGGATCGACTCTACTCCCGCGACCAGTCGCATCGTTGATATCTCTGATTACCCAGTCGACCTCGCTATCGTTACGGCTGGGTACATTCTTTGGCGGGGTGGCCCTGGATGGCGCGCGAGCCACGACTTTGACCAGCTTGGAACTAAGCCGAGCTTTGGTCGAGGGAATCTTGACGAGGGCAGGACGAGATGTCGCCATTCGTAGTGGCGATGAACACGGCAGAACAGAAGCCGAGTCTCTCCTCGAGCGAAGTGTATGTTCCTGAACCCTGCAGGGGCAGTCGACTTGGTCTTGACTAACAACCCCCTAGTTGGCGACACTCCACACAACGGTGACCTCGGCATCTTTTTTTGCCGCAGCGACATTTCATTTCTCGTCAACTACTTTGTCTTCAGTGGCAAATCTCTCGCAGGCACTCCTATCTACTTTGGATGCCATTCTTGGATCCACCGAGTCTTCGAGGGCCATTGCAGCTATTATCACGCTTATTCGACGTGAGTTTAGATCCGTTGAGCCCGGTGCAAGTACCGAGAACATCGGTGTCGGAGATCTCCTCATCGGCTCTCTTGGCTTCGCACTATTGCAACGTTGGGGTAAGAAGAATACCGAAAGACATCTGCGGCAGAATGGCGGGGATGAGATTGTTTGGGATGTTGTCATCCTGGACAATGGCGCAAGAGCAGACGTGATCGGATCCCATCAACTGCAATTCCCCGACCGCAATAATGAAGAGTCAGTGGAACCTGGCAGTGCTTCCTTTGTGATGCCTGGAAATGGCGAGGAAGCGTTTGATGTAGTACGACGGTCGAGCATGTCTGATCCATTTGGACATCGTCTCTCTATTCCGTTGGATGGTCAGCAGCAAGTGTCCGATGAGGATATCCGTGCTTATATTATGAGCCAACTTCCTCCAGGCTGTCATGCATCTATCAGATCGGAAGTTCTGACCGCGCGAACGATCACGGTCGATATTTACGATGACGATACGGCAGAGATCGCCGCGCCACCTGGCACGAAAATAATAGAGGAGAGATTCCATCATGATCATAATTATGGGGATATCAATACGGCCGATGGCCAGCAACGGTGTCCCAGGCATACAGTGGTGTTTAGGACAGCCTTCAACAAATCCCAGAACACTCAGCTGCGACCCTATGACGGCTCTGGAATTTCTGCCCTGCCTGAGCCTGATCATCATAAACGAGCATTGCCGCGCACTCCAGTGTCCAATAGTCCGGTGAAGTCTCATCATGAGCAGTCCTATTTGCATCCCGATGCCACACAGGGCATAGCTCCCCAGCACCGTGGAACAATTCCCGACTCGCCGAATGAATCTCCCAGGGCTACACTTAGCAAAGGCACATTTGCAAAATTTGCACAAAAGGTTAAACCAGCTGCTCTGGAAAGAAATGAGGCCAAGCGGCCACCGGCAAAGAGGCCATCTATAAACCCATCCGGGCCCTCAGTGATTCCAAGTCCTCGTCTACCTCCCCGGCCTACAAAAGGAACAGCGGCTGTGAAGCAAGCCACTGCGCGAGAGGTCTCCAGCAGACCTGCTCTCAAGAAAAGCCAAACTGAGCCTCTGAGCTATCGACCGATAACCCCTGTCCCAAATCGGGGTTTACGAAGGTCGCCCTTCCCAAATTCCACCCAAAGACAGTCGCCAGAGTCACAAATAAAACACGCCCCATCTCACGAGATGCATGCCGCTAGGGGCTCACGAGGGGGGCATTTCGCGGTGCGAGAGAAGAGCCAAGAGTCGCTCCTCACTCAAACCGACACATTCCTCTCACGTCGTGGCGCTGGTATGCATCCTGGTTCGCCTGTCGCGGTCCAGACTCACGTTCGCAGCAGCAGCTCACTATCTGTGACAAGATCAGAGGCAGACGGGAGTGTGTATGCGAATGATAGCCGCCCTGGCTCGTCGGCTATGCATCACAGATCCCACTCATATACCCCCAGCCTGTATTCACTAGCAACTGCAGGGTCTGAGACATCGCTACTACTTGCGCATCGGCCTCGCAAAAGTGCATATGAAGACATGGAAACCATCCAGGCGCTCAATCGCGATGGCTTTGTTCCAGGCATATTTCCAGAGAGACACTTCGTACAAAACATTCGCCGGTTCTGCCGGTTCTCCGCTGCCTCATATGGCTCGAATGCGCTTACGGTCATGGGCGTTCCAAGTGGCTCGAAGAATCTACCTAATACCAAGTCAGACGGCCACGAGCACAGTGCATTCTCAGAGAATGCAGGTCTTCCACCCTCCACCATCCTCCTGTCTTCATTCGTCGACCCAGCTGGTGGCTCGAACTCAGCTGGCGAGACTGAGACAGGTTTCCCACTAGTCCACTATCTTTCCATCGACCATGACTCCAAAGCCGTGGTTCTTACTCTGCGAGGAACATGGGGGTTCGAAGATATCCTCACAGACATGACCTGCGACTACGACGACCTCGAATGGCAAGGCAAAACCTGGAAGGTGCACAAAGGCATGCACGCCTCAGCCAAGCGGCTCCTAGAGGGCGGCGGCGGTCGAGTAATGATCACGCTACGTGCAGCACTAGAAGAATTCCAAGACTACGGCATAGTCCTATGCGGACACTCGCTCGGCGGAGGCGTCGCAGCCCTTCTCGCAACAATGATTTCAGAACCAAACCCCTCCACAACAGGCACGTCCTTCATAACAACCTCATACCAACCCGCCACCCGTCCCCGCCTCTTAACCGCAGATACAAACCCCAGCACCCCAGACCCCAGCCCATCAACCTACACCATCCCCGCGAACCGACCAATCCATGTCTACGCCTACGGTCCCCCAGCCACGATGTCCCCCTTCCTCCGTCTCGCCACACGAGGCCTAATAACAACAATCGTGAACGGCTCAGACATAGTCCCCAGTCTGTCACTAGGCATCCTACACGATATGCACACAGCGTCACTATCCTTCAAAGACGACGCCATAGGTGCGAAAGCACACATCCGCCAACGGGTCAGCGATTCCCTCCGCCAAAGCATAATCCACAAATTCTACGTCAACCAGCCACCGCTGGTCGTCAATGCTGGCGATGGTGTCGGCGAAGATGCCTGGGCGTGGAAGACGTTGAAAATGCTGCGGGATGAGATGCGTGCGCCGAAACTCATGCCGCCCGGTGAGGTTTTTGTCGTTGAGACGATGCGGGTTCTGCAGCGGGATGCGTTTACGGCGCCGGAGCTTGGGGTCGATGGGTATCCGCGGCTTGGGAGACCTGCGACTCGTGTGCAGATTCGGTTTATTCGGGATGTTGATGCTTGGTTTGGTGAGTTGCGCTTTGCGGGTGGGATGTTGAGTGATCATAATCCGGCGCGGTATGAGACTAGTCTTGCTGCGTTGGTGAGGGGGGTTTTGGATGAGTAGACCTCAGAGGGTTTGGTATTTATGGGTTGTGATGATTTGATGATGGGTTTAGGGCACAAATAGACAAGAATGGATGTGTATAATTTAGGGACGTCTTAGAGTTGTCTAGCTCTGTGAATGCTTCATACTTCGAACAGTCTGTACAAGAAGCAGTTGATGGAACTTGGCCTGTCATAAGAGAATGACCTTGGCCCAAGAACTCTTGTCCTCTGGAACCATCAATTTGTGGTTCACAAAGAACAATATAGAGCAACGAGCACTACAAAGACGACTACAGGATCACAAAACAGAGAGAAATAGTCTTCATCATAGAATATACATTGAGAATCGTAACTTTATATAGTGTATAGAACCGACCCATCTAAACCAAATGGGAATCCGATAAAAAGAATCAAAACCAAGATCCAGGGTATCATCACGGCATCACACACAACGCCAAACAAAAGAAATCCCCACCAGACATACGAAAAAACCCCCTAAGAAAAAAACAACATGACAAGAATCGAAAGAATACCAAGACAAAGGCCACAATCGCTTATACAACAAGCGCAGTGGCAACAGGAGCAGGGCCCGGACGACCAGAGTGGCAACCACGCTCATGGCGCTTCATATTGCTGCGCACAGAGAAAGCCTTACCGCAGCCAGCATGCGTGCAGCGGAAAGGCTTCTCACCAGTGTGCGAGTGGGAGTGGATGCGCAGGGAAGAAGGACGCGAGAAAGCCTTGTGGCAGGTACGGCAGATATAGCGGTCGTGGTTCTGCTGGTACGGGGCTGAGGTGGAGGGCGGGAAGTAGTGGTGGTGTTGCCAGGCCGGGGTGACGGGGGAGATGAGAGCGGAAGACGAGTGCGAGTGGGAGTGTGAGTGAGGCTGCTGCGTCTGGACCTGGACGGCGGGCATCTGGGGAGCTGATGCTGGGGTTGAGGGCTGGAAGGAAGATGCGGTTGGTGGGCGAGGGTAGTACATTGGCTGTTGGGGAGCGTCGATTGGAGATGTGTAGGATGAGACGCTTGGTGCGGGCGAGGCGTAGGGTGCTGTGTTGCGGGGGATGTGGATTGAGCTGTTGCTTGAGATGGAGGAACGGTGTAGGTGGTGGTGGTGAGCTTCCTTGTGGGAGAGCGACTCCACGGGTGATGCGCGGCGGTGGGCGTGGCCGGAGCCGGGGCGCATAGGTGGTGTCGGGGGCATCTCATAGGACTGGACGCGGATGTGGCGTTCACCGAGAGATGGTGAGAGACGTTGGCGCTCTGAGGTATGGTTAGAGAGGATATTTGTTGTGGTATAGTTGGTGTACTCACTAGCTGCGTGCTGAGCGCCATCGGCACCCTCGAAGAGAGATGAGATTGAAGGCAATGAGA